CATGAGACAAGAAAGTCAAGCACATACCTCAAGCGTTTTGCATGAGTAAGAAATTCATGTGCATGGAGACAAATCTTGAGGTATGTGCTTGCTCATGTGCTTGAGAAAAAAAGCTTCACTAGGGCAGGCATTCAATCCTCTGTGCATCAAACAGGATAGAACTGATACATGGTACATCCTGAAAGACATCAACGGCAAAACGATCTTCCATCAAGGAACTCATAATTGCGATGACCGATCAATCTTTTGATGCGTTTCTCATTTCTATGCTTTTTTATTGAGACCTTCTAGATCAAACTCGTTGAGTCAGTCTGCACAATAAATAGTACGCTTAACTTTCGGTGCACCGTTTGGTATAAAGACTTTTTTTTATAATCCAAACTTTTAATGAGATAGTTCAAGTTTGCGATCAGAAATAGAGTAGACTTTGAAATTTCCTTGTCGTTCCTCTGAAATTGCTGTGTACTTAGAGGCTAAAAAATATTTAAGGCAATTAGTTCAGTATCAGTAACATTCTATATACTTGATAGGCAAACACGTCTAGTCAATATATAACCCCGTTAAATAAATATATATATATGTATATGTTGGAGTTCAGATTGAAATCTAGTTCAGTTTTAAACACAACTAGTTCAGACTGAAATTTTAATCTTCGCTAGTAGAAATTGAAATCGAGATGCTTGCACATGTGGTAAAACATGGATCTTTGATAATGCAGGTTACAGAATGAAAGTTCAAGCTTATGAGTCATATAGAAAGCTTGGCAACATCCGCTAACTGTTTCCAGAAGTGAGAGTGAGTAGAACAACGGTATGTCACGAGCAAGAACTCCTTAACACTGCTAAATCTACTAAGAGCCAGTGTAGGGTGCTAAATGTTGGTTTTCCACTCACTCTCACTACTAGATGCGGCTGCCGCACGTTACCAAGCTTTCTGAGGGATTCATGAGCTCGAATTTTAGTTTTTAGTTTTATTTTGCTAAAAAAAAAAGACTGACGACCCTCTAGGTCCTTACAGTACAATGACTGAAAAATTTAAAGAAAAATATATAACAACATTGATAACAAAATTTTTCAACAATAGTACATTTAAGAGAAAGTTGTATATATGACACCAAATTTTAACATTAAAGAGAGTTACAGATAGTTTGAGTATAGAAAAACATACGATATACTAATAAAGTCACTTTTATTTTATTTTTGCACAAGTGAGTGATTTTTACATTTTTGTTAATACATACAACAGAGAAGATTAGCACAAAAACGACTCAGGAAAATTTAGGAGTAGTTCAATCTCCTCCATCTCGTAATATGGAATTGAGACAGCAGAAGAATTGGCAGAAATCCACTTCAAACATTTCTCTATCACTGAGACGTTCTCTACGTATCTTTTGGACACTCTCAAGCATTTGATTGCAAACTCTTTCTGTGTCCAGGCCTGTCTAAATTCGTTTAAGGATGCACGTTCAAAAAGCAGTTCAACCGAGTCTGTCAGCGCTACCAGGTATTTGCTCCAATCAGGCCCGTAGCCAGGGGGGGTGCCCGTTGTGCCCGGGCACACCCCTTGAGTAAAAATTGCTATTTAACGAAAACAATCACGTTTGATTTTGCAAAAGAAATCACCGACAAGATAGGATTCGAGCTTTCATCTGGTTTCAAAAGACATTATTAGGAAATTCCTAATAATGTCTAAAAAACCCCTAAAAAGTTACTTCGGTTGCTTAAATGAGTTCTAGCAAGAATATCTAAATTTTTTCGCGCGTTTCATTGATGCAAACCGGGGTCAAGACCCTTTTGCGTCCTGTTATTTTTTTGGGCCGATCACTATCACACAGATGGCTATATCGGAATCAGAACCGGTACAACCAAAAAACAAAATGCAAGAAAACCGGTATATCAATTTACATCTATAGTGCACCCCCCTTAGCAAAATCCTGGCTACGGGCCTGGCTCCAATAACGATAGCATCTATCTTCTAGAGAAATCTCGTCAAACACATACGAAAAAAAGTGATCGTTCCGACCTAAGCAAAACATTATTCTTTTCAAACACGTATAGTAGAAATGAGAAAGGTCCTCACACTGGTTTTCTGTAAAGAAAGGAAGTAACGGAAACAACCAAGTAAATAGAGGAAAAACATACGACGAAAAGAGAGCTCTTCTTAGCGGAACAGACGTTTTACCAGAAAATCTAAATGAGTAATCATTGCTAATCTCTGTCTAATCTTTAACATCGATCTTTTTATCATATTACCCCATCCTAGCTTTGAACTTATCCAATATCCAAGATATTTAAATTCTTTAATCCAATTTATTTTATTTTCTCCTGATTCAATTTCAAATGGCGCTGAACCTATAGCTCTAGCACTCCAAATTCCTTCTGTTTTAGAATAATTTATAGGTTGAACTGTAAGACGAGAATAGTATTCAAGTTGATCGAAAAATAATTTGAGTTTTTTCTCAAGATCTAAACATTGTTGTGTATATTTTACACCAATTTGACCAGCTAATATCGCAGTCAAGTCATCAGCAAAGAAGTGTGAAGAACACCAAGAAAGAAAATCTGGCATATCAGCATGATATGTAATAAAAACCGTCGGTGTCAAAATTCCGCCTTGAGGGCCATCCTTTCCAATACTGAACCACATAGACTTTTTACCATTGATTTCAATGTATCCCTTCTGTTTTCTAGCCAAGCTTTTATCCACCTGATGTACGCTAATGGAATTTCCATCTGTCGAAGTTTACCCACACACACATCATACCACAACATGTCAAAAGTGCTTTTGAAGTCGACAAAAATAGTAGCAACTTGCGAGCTATTCGACATGAGACTGTAAACATCCTCCAGAAAGAACAGCAACCTCGTTTGCAATCTGAACTTCTCTCTAAACCCAGACTGGTTATTTGGAAGTATACCTCTCCTATTCAATACATCACGAAATCTTGTTAGAAATAACTTGGAAAGAATCTAATAACGATATCGGTCGAGTTTGAGAAGGTGAACATATAGAATCTTTTTTTGCTAATAGCAAAATGCTTGTGTCTTTCCAGGCAACTGGAAGAATAGCCTTTGCAAAGGAAAGATTGTAGAGTTGAAAAAGAAGTAACCAGTGAGAAAAATGTAAGAAATTGAACATGTAATTACACAGACTGTGCGTGTCCAGGAATTTCTTTTTCCTTCTAAAATTTACAGTTTGAAGAAGTTCTTCAAATGTTACCTCTGGAATTAATTCATTTTTATTCTCAAAATCCGTCCACGGTGCATCGACGTAAGGATGTGGTCTAACTATATTATCTGTTTTTCGAAAAAACTCCTCATAAAAATCTGCTGCTATCTCACACATTTTACTCGAATCTTTTACCACTTCGCCGGGAATAGAGATGAACGCGCAAAGAGTAGCGTGTCCAGGGCAGATGAGAATCTGATCAATCTAACAACTTTTCAGCTTTACTACCGTCTTGTTCCAAATCAACATTGAAATCACCGTATACCACACAATTTTCAGACAAAAAGGAGATAGCTGTTCCCAATTCCATGAACGACTTTCTGGCGCAAACACTCCTAAGATTCTAATCTTCTCGTCGACCTTAACCTCGACAACGCAAACATTTGGTAGCGTACAGTCAACACGATCGACTTGAATTCCATTTCTCATCAAACTAAAACACCTCCATTTTTGTTTTCACCTTTTTGAAAGAAAATTCCAAAGTCAGAGAAAGCCTGGGCACAGAAAGAAAGATCGGTTTCGCCTGTTTCTAAAAGTACGAGAACATCAAAGTTGAAGGATGTTGTGAGAAGTAAGACTTCATGCCAGCGAAGATCAAAACCACGCACGTTGAACGATAGGACATAAAGTGGAGAAAAAACAGTTGAGTTCTCTGTGGAAGTACATTTGTTCCAAAAAGAAAAACACGAAGATAAGAGTGGACAACTTTCCCACTCTGAAAGAATAGAACAAAAAAGTTCATAGTCAAAAAAAGATAGATTCTCCTTAGCTTTACACAGAAACTCCTTTCTTCTACAAGTGTTTACAAAAGAGGAACAGCTGAAAAAAGGTACTGCATATGGCGAGAGAGACATCAAGCAAAGATTCTACCTTCTCTACAATTGTTCACCTGAGCTCGATAACGTTCAAATTTACTTCTGCGATCGGCATCTAGTACTCTACCATTATTGTCTATGTTCATTGCATTATTGAGTTTTAATAAATCATCTAGTATTGGTCATAACAACTTTTTTAACATTTCATCTTGCTGTTTTATCAGATTATCATGACTAATATTTTTTGCATTGAATAATGCTAAGTCCTTTTCTAATTTTCTATCATTTGACTTTAAATGTTCAATTTCATTGATAACTTTCATATCATGTTCATTTTTGTCAATAATAAATTGTTCAAATATCTTGTTTGTTTCTGACATTTTTTCTAAAATTTCATTGACTTTAGACATACCAGTAATTAATTCATCTAACTTTGAAATCATCGAACCGTTTGATGGCAACCATCGAGTTGGCATATGTGGAAAATCTGAAGCATTATATTGATAACTATTATTGTTGTTCACTGTTGAAGAATAAGATGATGCGCGATTATTATTGTTATTTAACAGATTTCGCGTTAACTCAGGACGAAACGATTTTACCACTGGACATTTCGTTGAATTTGCTGCATGATCGCCATTGCAGTGTTTGCACTTAGGATCTGACGAGCAATGATGATCTTTTAAATCTTGAAATGATTGACCACATGTTTTGCATGTTTCATTTTGTTATGTGGACTTCGTTTGAAAATTCATCGAAATCAATACGTACGTCAACATTCTTAATTATCAGTGACAGTTGAGGAGGAATAGAAGGGGATGAAGGGAATGAGTAATGTTCTCCGGCTGTAATCGATGGCCATTTAGTTTGATCTAATAACAATGTAAAAGACGTTGAATTTTTCAAATAAAGTAGAATATCCATCTCATTGTTGTTACATTTTAAATTTAAGGCACGACAATTGGCAATTTCAATATCTGTTTGATAATCATTTTTGAAATGATTTGTGACCTCTTCTTTAAACTGTTTAATTGTTACCTTGTTTGATTTAAAACGTACAATATGAGGTGGAAAATGGTATCTAGTTAACGCATAACGTGCAGATGCGGTTGTTATATTTTATTGACTTTGTTGATGATTGTTTGAATTCATAATAATAGGATGTGGTGCATTCATTGTCATGATATTATTATTAGTAGAATTAACATTCTCCTGTTGTTGTTGAGACGTTTGTGGACGATCGTTATAATTGTTTTGATGTTTACTTTTCTTGTTTGTAACTGTCTGAAAACCTTCATCATCAGAATCATTAGAACGAGAGCGACGAATAGAACGTGCTGGAGAATTAATCAATTGCATATTTGTAGAAGCTGGAGGTGGAATATGCTGTTGTATATTCGATTTTGCATGATAATAAACATTTGATTGTGGATCATAGGAAGAATGAGAACATTGACACTGTTGATTATTGTAACCATTTTTTAACGAATGACCAATGATATTTTCGATGAAATAACCATTGTGCTGTTGATTAGGATAGAACGTGGTGTTATTTTGATGATAATTAGCTATTATTTTGATTAAATTATCAATAATAATGGATAAGTTTAAATTTATATAAAAATTTATATACACGCGCTGCGCGCGTGATTATATGTATATGTATAAAATATATGTATAAGTAGAGAGAAGTAAAAGACAAAATACGTCCGTACAGTAAGTCGATATTTTGTGTGTATGAAATTAATGAGCTCGAATTTCCATTCTGTAACCTGAATTTTGTTTTACCGCATGGGCAGGCATCTTAATTTCAATTTCTACTAGCGAAGATGAAAATTTCAGTCTGAACTAGTTGTGTTTAAAACTGAACTAGATTTCAATCTGAACTCCAACATATACATCTTGACACTCTGAATAAAAATATGAAATCAAGGTTTTCAATATTGGACTTGCTCGTG